GGCTTATTGGAAAAGCTACCTTTTTTTTTTTTTGGTAAAAATTGAAGCTACCTACTATAACCATAATGATATAATACTTAAGATATCCATCGTCATCCTTGATTCCTAATGGTGAGGTGAGAGGTTAATTAGATTTTAGAGCCAGTGTTTTAAGACTCGGCCTGAACCGGATGGTTGGACCATAACATCAGGAACCAGTGGTCTTTTGCGGTCCCAGTTAAATGATGGTTTTGACAGGTTTTCGTGGGTTTACTAAATGAATCACTCGGTTAACTGGTAAAAAACCAGGATCCATGAACTGGTGGGCATATTCCAGTTTTTAATCTGGTTCAAGTCTTAAAACACTGGTTAGAGCCTTAGAGGTGAGAGGTGAGTGGTGGTGAGCACTGAGACCACCAGCACGGCCACTACACCGAGTATTGCAATTCATGTTCTTCGTTTCCTTAATTTAAAGTTTGCCCGGCTGGCACCAACCCGTTGCAGTGTTTTTCAAATCACCCTTGACTCGGATGGTTGGACCATTAAACCCGTTATTCAAAAGTAAATAAAACAAGTTGGAATTTCCACAAAGCCTACCCACGGGTAACACTTGCATTGCTTCATTAATTGTTAGCTGCCTAACACCTAAGATGGAGGTGGTAGAGCGCATCCACTCTTTAAGATTAACGACAACAATCTCAATTGCTTTAATTTTTACATTGAGAAGATGGTACGTACCCACTTGACAATATGTTATCATGGCTCCCCTTTTAATGGGGGAAGAAAGTGAGGAACCTTCATGGCCTTTTTATTTATATATTTATTTATTTATTTTCCAAAAAGGAAGATTTTGAATTTGGATGTTACACAATCATGACAACCAAGGCTTCCATTTTGAATCAACCTAGACAAAAATATTCCTTTACATTTTCAATCCACATATGATTGTTACTCAATAAGCAACTCTCTACTCTCTACCTCCTAATATATATATATATATATATATATATATATATATTTATTTATTTATTTATTAGACCGTGTGAGTCTCCATTTTTTTTTTAACTTCTTTGGAGAACAATGCCTTTCTTATCTCGATCCGTGACTTTTAAAAAGAAAAAGAGAAATATACATTTAAGGATACTGTGCAAATGCGCAATTATTATTATTATTTTTTTTAAATTATAAAACTAATCTTTATCTTGGTCTCTAGATGTATAAAAAATTGAAGATAAATTTTAGAAAAAAAGAGAAAGAAAAAAATAAAAGAGATTTTCATACAATAACAACCATTGAAGGGTCAAATGTACTAATGGAGCAGATATAAAGTTGTAAAAATTAAAAGAGTGAATATTGGTGTGCTGGATGCTCCAATCAGTAAAAGTTAAAACGTGGACAGAGGCTCTGAATTCTGAAACTCCTTTTTTTTTTCCGACTATTAATGTGTATGTCTATTCTCTTCAACGATTTTTTTTTTTTTTTTTTCCTTTTCCTACTTTTTCCTTTCCATCAACATCAATTATCGAAAATAACCGACCAAAGGAAAATTTTTAGGGATGACTTGGTTGTCCTCGTATATTGTATTATTGTGACTTTTGGGAGAATGGGACGATACCAATTGGGTCATCACATATGTGATGGAAAGCTATTACTCATCATAAAGGATTGCAAGTTTTCTTTGTTATCCATTCTTCTTCGCCAATGATTTGCTCTACATAGACTACACGTACACTCCATGAAAAGACAAAACAATCCATATTCATTAATTATTTAATAAAGGCCTATGGCTATGAGTTTTTTTTTTCTTTCTTTCTTCTTTCAAATATATATAGATAGAGAGGTCAGAGGGTGCTACTTTCTAATTATATATTTAAGATTATTGTTTTTTTTTTTTTTTTTAGTTTAGGGGTATATTGTTGTATTTCGCTGCTTTTCCATTCTCTTATAGGCTATGGGGAATTAAGTTGTGTTTTCAATAAAAATCTATTAATAAATTATCAAAAGCATAAAAAATCTACTATAAATAATCAGATGAAGTTAAAATTTATTCCGGTGTTGTTTTCTTTCGGAAAGAACTTTTTTAGGCTATATTAATCAGCCTAGCTATAATATAAATTAGCTAGTGTATAACGTATGCCCCAATCAGCACCCTTTTCATATATTCACGCGCTAGATCTGCTCTTGTAACTACTGCTTTAGTCTCGTCAAGGATGATATTAAAATCGAACAAGTGTTTCAAAGAGTAAATTAAGACCTTAATATTAAGGTGTAGAAACTCAGTTATCAGATTAAAACAGCTCATTTGTGAAGGTTAGGTCTTCTTTATATTTGTGTTTGCCAATGTGGACGGTTTCCTTGAGGTAATTTTCTCAAGAAAATGGCCACATGTAATTAGTGCATTTTGATTATTTTCATACACATTTTGCCAATACATTAAAAAAAAAAAAAAAACCTCTCTATTTTGCAGCTCCACATTTTGAAAGTTTGTTTTCTTCCTTCCAAAAACCAACAAAGAGTTTTCCAAAATTTGACATGAAAGGCCTTGAAAGCAAACTGAAACGACCACATTAATGGAGAGCACTCTTTAGTTAGTTAGGATTCCTGTTTGTACCAAAAATAAAAATAGAAGAAAATGCTTTTATAAAACACCAACTAAGACAGTAGTGTATTTGGAAGCAAGTGTGAAGAAAACTCGTAAATTAAGCCGTGGAAAAACAAATAAATTCCTAATTAACATCATATATATAAATTTAAAATCCACCCAAAACATGGAATTAAAGGCATAAAGGAAAACTCGTAAATTAAGCTGTTAACAGACATGAGACATCGTACGTATTCATTTGCTCCCCGAGTTCCAACTTTGCTTTAATCCAAGAGCAGTACCTACCAATGAGAAAAATAAGCATCGCCTGTATTTGATGATAAAGTCCATAGAGAAGGACGATTTCACATGCATTCTGGATTGATTTTTGTTTCCATTGCAAAAGGTGGTTCAAATTCTTATTCGCTAGGTGTAGGTGCATGCGCAGTATGTGTATTCACTTGTTTATCGAGGGGAATGAATCAAAACTTTGTCTTGAATATGCATTTCATTCCAACATCAATGCTAGATCCGACTTTGGTATCATTTGGAGCGGAGTAAGAGACAACAAGTTGAGTCCAAACATGCATGGGCGGCTACCTACAGTCCGTCACACATTGATACTGATGTTGTCCACCCCATAACCTATAAATGCTTATAAACAGTTTATTTTGCTGCCACAGGACCTTTTATATCTAACCCCACCCAATGTTATTGCCACCAAACCTTCCTCTGCAAATAACACCCAAACCGGCAGGCGATGTTATTTTTAAATTAAAAAATTTACAAAATTCTATAAAGATTGGGAAGCAATATGAGGAGTTTGACATGAATAACTGCATTTTAGAATATAGTAAAGATTAAGGTGATATTCACCGATGATGCGCGATCTGATCTGTCCTAGCTGCCGGTTACCTCGCTTCTGATGACATCGGAGGTGTCTGAAACAAGGAAGAAAATGGAAGCTTCTGGGGAGAAACCCGGTTGGAACACTCCGAAGCTCAAGTTAGTATTCTTCAGAAGGCAAGGGAAATGAGGAATTCTAAGACCAAAAAACGCAAGAATCACATACCCTCTTCTTTGTGGGATGTGGGCCTTTTATAATTACCCTGTACACACTTCCATGCCTCTGCCAGTTCGGGCATCATTACCTCTACCAGATCGGGTCACTTCCTCTGCCAGATCGGGTCACTTCCTTTGCCAGTTGCCAGTTCGGGTGTCATAACCTCCACTGTCAGTTGCCAGGGCCGCCTCTGTCCGTCTGGGATGGCGGTGGCAGGTGGCTGTTGGTTGGCAGCTGTCATGTGTCGATCCCCTAATCAGTCAGGTGCGCCGCCTCCGGGTACGGTCTCTTGGGCGTTAGGTACGGTTGTTCAGTCAGGCGACTTGGAGCCAAAGTGGTGTGCGAGGTGAAGTCTTGAGTTCGGATAGAAGTATGGCCCAAACTGCCCCTGGGCGAGTAGTTCGGGTTTTTTGCCTTTGGTGCTCCTTGTAAGGCTCAGGACCTCGAAGGGAGAGCTCGAGACTCTTTAGTTCGGAGCTCGGTTTGTAGGTTCCTTCGAGGGAGCTCGACTCTCTTTAGTTCGGAGCTCGGGTTGTGGGCCTGCTGCCATGCCGAACTGGCGTTTCTGCCAGGTCACTCTCGGTTGCTTCCACGTGTCACATGGTCAAGGAGTCGGGTCAAATCTTCCTCCATCATTCACCATTCGGCTCGGTTGAGAAATTTGACCTATCTATATTAGCGTTGATTCCACAACAAAAACACCAAGCTAACATTGTGTTGCCAATGTCTATGATTTTGTTTTTTGAAACAAAAAACAACTGCCACATCAGAAAAATCAATATATTTTTGGCTGATGTGGCAACTGGTTTAAATTTTGGAAAACAAAATCATGTATGCCGTCAGCATCTAGAAACTACAACAAATTTCTTTGTCTTGTATATTTGATACATTACTTAATAAGTTTGGCCAAACAGACAGCCAACTCCTCATAATTGGATTTGATATGGAGTTATTCATTTGTCTCCCTTCTTTCTCCTCTCCTTTCTCAGTCGTAGGCTTTCTCCCCGTTACAATTAATATGTCATATGTATTTCTCCATGATTGTTTAATTAAGAATTTTTAAAGCTTCTACGCAAACAAAAAAAAACAACTGTATCACGTAAAATTGGATCATGCAATATCAGCTGGCCACGTCTTGATTCTTGATCAATGGGCCCGCTGCCCCAAAAAAAATCACATACCAGCAAAAAGGAAACTTAGACTCCAATCAATGATAAATCTACAAACAATTGCCGATGGAGGAAATTATGGGAATTAAATCAGTTGAAGCAAAGAATCCACCTCCAGGCTCCAGGTAGGTAGGTTTTCGAGGGTTATAAGATGATGGGATCTGCATGGGTTTTTGCGCTTTAAGAGTGAGCATCTGGTATATATGTATAGTCAAATTAATGATGCCCAATTCACATATAGCCTAGATCGCTCATATATATACAAAATTTCCTTATTTGGCATGTACACAATATCATTTACTTTTTGATGAACATAAACCTCCTAAATCTCAAAGTAGTTCAGAGTTGAGTTCATACACCTGTAGAGACAAGCGCCCAGGAATTAGGTGAAATATATATTGGTCACATTGGGATTGGGCCGTAGCAAATACAAACTAAAGAAATTAATTCCTAAAATATAATAAGAAACAAGTCCACCTCTTTCTCCATACAATGAGATGGGGACTGGGGAAGGGTTGGTTGAGGAGAATTACATTTGGGATATTTGGACACTCCTCCTCTGGAATTACTACATTATTGGGGAAATCAACTGCACCCGGCCCCTTTCAGCTCAATTCAGACTCTTCCTGAATCCTTCCTAGCATCTGATAAACAGCTGTGGCGATTTCATCCACCGAGGTAAGCTGACACTCGTCCTCAACCTGTCTCCAATATAATAAAACATCAATTAAATTGAAGACCAGGAAAGGAGGAAGATGAGGAGAGGAGATGGAAATGGAATTGATTGAATTAATGCCGGAAAACTGTTGTAACTGTTATGCCAACCAAACCAACCTTAACGCTGAATGAGTAGAGGACCATTTGATCGACGGATGTGACGTTAAGGTGGAGGATTGTTAGACGCAGGGTGTGGAAGCCGGCTACCATCTTCAACAGCTGCTTGGGTCTCCTCTTGGACAGTACTTTGAGGTTGGCATGGCTCTCCACCATCGTCACTTCGATATCGGCAATTGCGGACCGGTTCTCGGCCGTAGATTCATTGCTCCCCGCCGCCGAAGATGCCGACCCGGCTGGGTTGTTGCAATGAGTAGAGGATGAAGAGTATTGAGGGAAGGAAAAGAAATCAGCGAATGGAGAAGAGAAACCCGCGTCCGATTGCTGCTTTATTCGTTTCTGGGCCTCCAGGGATTGGAGGTGTTGCTCGAGCTCCTTCACGAAATTAATTGCTCCCCCTATGATTGATGCTTGGTCGCCCTGTTTACATACAAAAACAAATACCCCAGAAACAAAAACAAAGAGATTAATTTATTAGGGTTTGATGGAGAATTTTTAATGTAAATTTTTTTTTTCTAAACTGAGCGAGTTAATGTCTTTTTGTAATGGTAATTCTTGACATGCGTGAAGATAAAAAAGATAATTAAAAGAAAATATGAATTTAAGCGATAAAGCAAACAAATCAAGTATACGAAATGGATCTCTTAATGCGGCGAAAAAAGTAGGGAGAAAGGCAGACCCTTTGAACGTATGATGCCGGCATCAAAGACCGGAGCACGGCGAGATACTCGTTCATCTGCTTCCGACGATTACGTTCGACGGCAATGTGGGTCATCCTCTGATTCTCAACCTCTTCTTTGTTCTTGCAGCTCTTAGTGCGTCGTCTCTTACGACGACCCGACGTCGCTGCTTGAGCATCCACAGGGGAAAAGCCTCCGCCGGTAAAGAAGCCGCCATCACCGGTGCAAGCCTCCGGGGAAGAATTAGCGTCCCATTCCTTCATATTTTGCACCATTGAAGAAGGAGAAGAGTCCCAATTTCCAGCGAGACCCTGCTCCATATTCTTGTCAGGCATCTGAAGACCACATTTGTTGTTATCTTCTTCTAGGGCAATATCGTAGCACCAACCTCCTACTCCTCCCCCCAAGGAGTACAAATCCTTGCAGCCATAACTAAACAGGTCCTGTGGAAACACCACAGCTTCCAACGCCATTATCTCTTCTGCTTTTCTGTCTGCTCACAAACTCCTTGTATGTGTGATTAGTTCCCTTCTCACACAGATACAAACATATTCGACAGAAGAGAGCAGTTGTTAATTTCTTTCAAATGCAAAAAAGGTCTGAAGCTACCTGAAACTCTTTTTTTTTTTTTTGTTTTCTTTTTCTCTAGAAGCCCAACCGGAACCAAGAAAACCCGCAGAAGCACAACTACAAAGCAAAACAACCAAATAAACTCTCGCCTTTCGGTCCTTCCTCGAAGGAGAAGTGGGGAGAGGTTTTTAAAGGCGATAATCAAACAAATCTAACTTCTAAACGTTAGAGGCTACAGCGCGAGTTGCACGTGAGACAGAATATAATCGTAATTAGTTGAGGGTTGAGGGCATAATAAATAAAAAAGAAGGTTATCGAGGGGGGGGGGGGGTGTTTGATTTGGTAATAATGATGGTCAGACGTAAAAATCGAAAGGGAGAGAGAGAAAGATAGATGAAAAGGCTGACAAAGCAGAGATTCTGGTAGAGATCGGGGAAAGCCCGAGAGAGACTGTGTCTGAGAGAGAAAAGCAGATAATATAGGGAGGGGAGTGAGGTGAGGGCTGAGGACTGAGGAGGACTGAGGTGAGACGAGAGGGGGAAAAGAGTACGTACTACGTAGAGATGAGCAGAAGAAAGCAGCTTCGCTCAGGTGTCGGACTTGTGCAGCAGGGAATCCATGTGACCACACAAACAAAGCCACCCTGCAATCATCTACGATAAAGACTAACTCCCTTTCCCAAGATTTATGTCCTCTTTTGTTCTTTAACCCCACGCTTAATTTATTTTATTATTTAAGCTTTGTATATTACTTAATTACCGTCCTCCACTTTTCTTAATATATATATATATATATTTTTTTAATGGGTTTTATATAACAACACATTCGACAATCCTGGCTCTCGTTCTTTTTGTTTATTTTTATTTATTTATTTATTTAGTAATAGTGGGTATCCTTTTTCTTTCTAGTATAATCTCTCTCTCACTCCTTTCTTCTCCTTCCAAAAGTTCATATAGACATAGACAGATGTCATAGAATGCATAATAATACTGTTACTGTACTGTTTGATGGATGCTTTACTCAAATAAATAAGCTATCGTGGGACTGTTATTACTATTATTTGATGAGTTCACTCAACACAAGAGTCAAGAATGGATCAAGATGTGATCTTCCCCTGCTGTGTATTTAGCTTTTACTTACTACTACAGGAAGAGCCGAAGAGGGGTGGGTTAGCACCCTAACCCTAATTAATTAGTAATAAATAATAGTTTAAGATATAGGGGCGATTTGGCAAGAAGGGGGCAACGGGCCGGGATTATATATATATATATATATATATATATCGCCATAAATTGATGTGGAAGGAATGATTAAGCAACGTAAGACCCAACTGGCATATCGCATTGAATATGGTTGTTTAAGAGATTCGATGACGATTAAAGAGTCCTTAAGAAGACCGCAACTTGAGTATGTCAATTTATTTTATGGTTAGAATGATAGGAAGAATCTGGTTGGAGTTGGAGGGTTTGTTGGTGTGAAATCGTCCGTACGTTGGTGCGTATATTATTAGTAATTAATAAATCACTGGTTATTGTGAGAAAAACTGTTACAAATGACAAGTTACGCTAGCACCAAATCGCCGATTCCGTGCTGGCGGGTCCCCGACCGAATCCTAAAATTAACATTCACAGTTTAATACTGAATCATGGACACGATTCCATATCCAAATCTGATCTGGGGTGTATCATGTATGTATACAAGCATTTAAGTATTTAACATTTATCATAATTAGAAAATGATAGTACTTACATGTTGCATGAATTATATTGAAATGCTTATCCTTTGAATTTGAATTGTGGGGTTGAGGTGGGAATGTTAGGAGACGATGGATGCAGCAGAATTATAGTGAGGAGAAGAAGCAGAGGAAACAAATAAATAAAAGGGGGGAGAGAAACAAAAAGAATCCAGACCCAAATCTGATGGATTGTGAAAGACTAATGGGGTTGATTTGATGAGAAACCTAATAATGGGGGAAGAGAGGAGACAGGAAAGGGGAAATGGGTCCATCGTCCGTCACGGTCCAATGTATCATAGCTTTCAACATTGAGGAATGTCCAAGGAGAATGTGCCAGGTTCAAACGCATTCTTGCAAGAAAAACCGGCTTGTTTTGTCATTATCAGTTGAGAGGTGTAGTAGAGACTATTAGAGTGGGGGAGGAATAATGGACGACTACTCGATCATCTCTCCCTGGATCAATGGAGCTAGGTGCATGTTGGTGTTGGGTCTGGCCGGGGAACATGTACCGATCGAGTCATTATTAATTAAACCCCTCCTCCTCAAGTCTACGTTAGATCTTTGTCTCATTTCCCATCAACTTGCACTCCATGGCATGAGATGAGGGGGGTACTTCCAAATTTAATCACCACTCAACCAGCTCATCACTTTAAGACAAAAATGCATGAATTCCCTAAATAAATAAAAAAAAATCATAATATCTTTTTCCTTCTTTCTGCTCCACTGGTAAGCTAGCTTAATTGCTTCAACCCGGCCAACCCTACCTTTTTCAGTCTAAACATGTGCAGCTGAAGCGCAAACCTCGGTTTATAGTTTGTGCCACAAATATAATCGATCCTCACTCACCACAACGCATCTTCCCACTGCTCAGCCCAGAATTCGAGATGTACAAAATCCTCAATCCCTCTGATCCTTCCCCAATATATTTGACGTTCTTTGACCACATACAAATAGATTAATTACTAACACCAAGGGGTTCAGAAATATATATATATATATATATATATATATATATATATATATATATATATA